GGCAATTTGTCTTCTTTTAGCATCAATTTCATCAACTTTTTTGCGAGCGGAGCTTCCGAATTCTGTAAATAAACGTTTTTCCTTGTCTTTATATATATATATATATATATATATATATATATATATATATATATACACATATATATATATATACATATATATACATATATACATATATATACATATATATATACATATATACATATGTACATATATATACATATATATATATATATACATATATACATATATATACAAATATATATATATATATATATATATATATATATATAAACATACGATAACAGCGGTATCATACTCACTGCAAATTTATCATAATAAGCGGTACCACGAAAAACAGAAAGTTGATAAGTACCATCTTGAACGAAACTTTCTAATGAATCAAAGGGTAGGATGTGACTTACGGTCGTTAAAAAGCTTATCAAAGCCGCAGAATAAGCAGCTGATAAGACGGTAACCAAAAGAAATACAGAAAAGTATGCTATGCGTAACGAAGATTTATCAAAAAATTCTACAGAAAAAAGATACTTTGTTAATGCTTTAATATATAAAAATATTTTTAATAATTATCTTAGTATATAAAAATCAAATTAAAAAACTAAAAAACGCAAATCAAATAACATTGAATCAAACCTGGAATTCCTTGTTGACAAAATATACCCCAAATTTCCAAAAAATTATCGGACAATAAATGTCTGATTTTACGATTGGTCCCATTTTTTATTTTCAGAAAAATCAATAAAATTGATGCAGCAATTAATACTCCAAACATAGCAATCCAAACAGAATAAGCGAAAGCCTACGATAAAAATAATTCCTTAATTAATGAAGGTTGTGAAAAAGAAAATATAACAAATTCGATTGCAAATTATCGTACTAGAAAATAAGATGACCATTTAATCGCGAATATTTCTGGTTCCCGAAAGAAGAGACAGTCTTTGGAGATCAAAACAGGATTCGTGAAGTCAACGGCATCTAATCTATCATTGGTCATAGAAAACTCTGAAAGAGAAATATCTGCACGTCCAGCATATAATTCTGCAATTGCACCAGACCAAGTTTTTTCTTTTGGATTCCATCTTCCATGCTCTTCTACTTCTGAGACAATGTTGAAACTAAAATTGAGAGTGGCACAGAGTTCTTTTAATATCCTACCGTATATACCATCTAATTCGCCATCCTTGTTTATAATTATAAATGGAGAATTCTAAAGAAGAAAAAGCAAAAAGAAATAAAAAAATAGAGACAAATTTTTTGAAATAGAAAATAGAAAAAATATCTACATGAAAATATTCTACCTTAACTATAACAGCTCTCATGATCAGGCCTTGTAAATTATGTCTTCTTTCATAAAGAGATTCTGGAACTGTTTTGGTAATTCCTCTTTCTAAGCTCCACGTAGCTACATCATTGATTTCAGTCCGATTTATATGGATCGAATACCATTCTCGTAATATATTTCCCGTACTGCAACGGACCAACATTTCTGAATTGAATTTTAAATGAAATATATTACCTGGTGGACTGTCACAATAATTTGTCCCATGTTCTTTGTACAGGAATATCACTAGCCACATGGCTGAAGACATATCAAAAGTACTTGTTGCTAAAGAGAATTCTTTAATCGCATTATAATTAGAGATCATCACGATGTAATACGGTTGCATTATTCGTCTTACGTAGTAGAATGATTCGTGCAATTGTGAAAAGGGCAAACTCGATATTGCAATATCTTCTCGAGAAAATGCACGCCTCCATTTATATATCATCGTTGTCATTTCCATTTCTATAGAAGAAAAGAACAAATGTAGTAGAAATGAAGAAATGAAAATGAGTAGTGTCTTTACCTTTTTCCGAATCGGCGTATAAGAGAATTGCAGAGTTCTTTCCATATAATTTGCAAATGTCTATGGTAAAAGGAATCTGTTCGTCGCTAATAGAAAGAAATTCGTACGATCTTGCAACTTTCGGAAGAAAAAGAATGAGAAAAAGAACAAATATTTTTAATAGCATAACGAATGTCTTTTTTCGTGTGTCGATCGATTGATTATAGTGTTACTTTTCAAATTGAACGAATCGGACTCTATTTTCTAAAGAAAAAGAGAAAATTTTTATCCGACTACAAAAGCAGCTCGTAGGATACTAAATTCCTAAAGTAATAAGAAAGTTATTGTTATTTCGATTATTATGCTTGTCATTCATGTATCTATATATAAAAGTTATACATTTATATCTTTCTACGGTAGTAAAAAGTTAAAGAAAATATTAAAATTTCACTTCTATCTTAATAATTTAATAAATGTACTGATCGATATAATTGAGGCAAGCACTTAACAAAATGAAATGCGACTACTGCACGTTTAAACAAATATATATGAGCGTCGTCTAATATGGAAGTTTAATTATCGAAGCTATATAAAGTAATGGAATGTTAGCTTTATTCATACGTTGACATAAATTAGTTATTCTTATTGATATTGTCAAAAAATCATCCCATGTTACTATAAGATATTGTCAATTCAAAAATTTTATCAGTTCATCTTATATAATGTGCATTTTGTCGAATCCCTTACCGTTAACTTTGAACTTTTCTGCAAGAAATAATATAAAAAAAATGTTCATCTATACAAGCTACTTATTTTCCATTGGGCTACATTGTGGTTATAAGAAATAATACAAAATGCATAATAGTAATACAGTGTTTCAAATTTTTGTTCAGTCTTATCCCACTTTAACGTCTTAAAAATGTTGATGCCTTCGCAAGAAATCTACTAGAAAATAAAAATTTTATAAATTGTGTTATATAAAGAAAAACGTACTGTTGAAAAACGTACGTACATATGATAGGTAAACAGTATAAGAGATAGTACGACTATTGTATCTTTTAGTTATTCAGTTTTGCATTAGACACCGAATGTATTGATCAGTTAAATTCTAAACAATAAAAGATTAAAACTCGTTTCAATCATTTCTTTAGAAAAAGTCTTTAAAAGGAATTGTGAACTCTTTTCACGAAAAATTCATACTGTAATTCAAACAATTTGACATGATTAGGATAAAATTACTTCCCTGTGGGCCGAACGTCCCGTGTTGGAAAATATATATATTTTTTATAATGAATGTGAATAGTAATCCAATTTTTTAATCTAAAAAATCAGTTGTTGATTCTTAATTATTTATTATTGGACTCCTAGAGGACTGTGAACTACAATTTGATAATCTAAGATATTAATTATACTATATTTTGTGTTTAAATAACAAATATTGGTTCATGCAATTAAAATGGCGGTAAGAACTAAAAATCTTGTCCATAACGAAGTGTGATCAGTCATACGCTTTTCGAACTGTGAAAACATTCGTCCAAAAGAAATTCATCCTCGAATTACAAATGTAAATAGATAAGATGTATAGGACCACAAGCTAGGTGTCCTGATGTGATGGTTTTTCACGATAATGCTTATTTTTCTATGCATCTGAAGACTAAAAACATTTTTGAACACTTTAAACGGGAGGTATTGCAATATCCTGCTTACAGTTTGGTCTTAGCTTTGAGTGGTTACCACATTTTTACAAAATTGTAAGAGTTCTTGAGAGAACTACGCTTTTCAGAAAACGATGATTTTAAATCTAATATGTAACGATGTCTATGAGATTATATATACCTAAAAAGTTTAAAAATTTGTTTTGAAATAAGTATTTTTATTCAACAGTATGATTTTTTAAGAATATTTTCTAAAAATTTTATCAGAAAATTTCAAAAATCGACAAAGTTACAGTCCTTTGAAATCGATCTTGTCGAGTTTTGTAGCTGGCAAATGTATAGTCCTTAATAATCGACTGCTTCACTTTGAAAATTTCTACCTGAACATTTTAGGTTAGAGGAACATATTAGGATAAGTATGAATCATTTGTTTTTGAATAAATACTAATTTTTGCGAAAATGTTCAAAATGAATCGATCGAAAATTACAGAAGAAGAAAACAATAATTTACAGGATAGCGCATTATTCAACAATGGTTAAATAAACTTGTAGCGGAAGTGTATGATGAAGGTATAAAAAAAATCATCCCATGTTATTATAAGTAAATAGGTAAATAGGTACGGCGAATATATTGAAAAGTAACTAAGCATATGTTTACAAATAAAGTTATATTACAGACAAAGAAAACTTTTTAAAAAGATTTATATTGTAGTAATTTCAAAATAGATATTACATTTTAAACGACCCTCGTATATATTTATATGAAAGTATTATATCTCTGTTATTCCTTAGGCGCAACATATCGTACGAAACTATTACAGTCGATTAAAAATATGTTTAACGAAGTATACAAATTTGATTATAACATTAATTATGTAATATATTTCATATAAATTTAATTTAAAACCTGAATGAATAGATATGATCAAAACGCGAAGTATGTTATTATAAGATAATCATTTCACATCAATTATTTATTGAAAATGTAACATCGAAAAATTTAATACTTCTAAAACATTTTTAGTTATATAAATATAATATGGAATAAATAAGCATTGTCGGAATAATGGAAAGATTCAATTATAATGCCGATTTTCAAAAAGGAAGACAAAATAAACTGTAATAATTATCGGAGCATCTCACTCTTACCTACATACTATAAAATTTTATCGAATATTTTCTTGACGACGCTTGTACAATATATATATATATAATAGATGAAATAATTGGGGATCATCAATGTGGTTTTAGAAGAACTAGATCGATTACATCTTAATATTCGACAAATTTTGGAGAAAAAATGGAAATTTGATCAAAGTGTACATCAGCTTTACATTGACTTCAAAAAAATGTATGATACGATGAAACAGAGAGAGATTGTTTGAAATTTTGATTTGGCTGAGGAAACCTAAAAAATTGGTTAGCATAGTTCAAATCTATTAGAAAGATACTGGAGGTAGAATAAGTGACAAAATCAAAAACTTAATACTTACAGCAGATTAAAGTAGAGAAATGCACTGTCGCCTCTTCTATTTAATGTAATATTGGAATATGTCGTTAAAGAAATCCAGAAAAGTAAAGTTAGTCTGTAGTTGAACAGTATAATACAATTGTTAATATATTCGAATACAGATAATAAAAAAACACTAATTAATAATATTAAAACTCTGAACGATATTGACGTTGTTGTTAATAATTTACGAGTTAATAACATTTACAATTCACGTGATGTTTTGTAATATTTCTTAAACTTTTCTTCCCTTTTACATAAAATGTTGAGGATTTAATCAACGGAATATGATGTACCATCGATAATTTTTTCCTTTTATGAGTAAAAATAAACTTTTCTATAATTAGAATACAAGTACTCAAAATGATACCAATTAGGATAAGGATAAGAAGTGATATTACGCTGGTTACGGGAACCGGTTGATGCTTTATCATATCATTGGATTTCTTATCAAATGGTGAATTTTTTAAACGACTCATAATGCCATTGGCGAAAAATTTCTGCAACCTAAAACGAGCAAGTGTTTTAACGTACGATAAATAAAAATTGACTTTATTCGATACTTGCGTTCTTACTGAAAATTGATGACGTTAGTGAATGGATTGTGCTTAGATAAAATCATAGCGATACTATTTACATGTCCTGTATCAATACGAACTACATTGCACGGAATTTCCAGATTTACTGGCTTATTGTGTTGAATCGAGTAGATTGCTAGCTTCTGATTTTTACAAATCTATAATTTAATGACAGTTATTAATAATAAAATTACATAAAGAAGTAACGCAATGAAACTTCAGATATTAATTCCTCATACGTAGAGAAGCAAAAAAAGATAGATCTGGAAAAGCTTAATTTATGAGTTAAAAGATTTCCAATGGAACACCAGTTAAATCAAATTCAAATACATAATTGTGTCTCTTGAATTTTTTGTTGTAGTGAAAATCTTTTACACTTGAAGATAGACTATTGTATTCACATTCATAAATGTATTTATTTTTGAACGTCTTTAGAACTTAATATTCAAGAAGAAGGTGAACATTCTAAGATTTCATGTAAGAAAATATCGAAAAAGTGAATCATAATATCAGCAAATAAAATGGAGTACACCAAGCACACACCTAAGTCTTGAAAGTCTTATAGCTCAGAAATTAAGCACTTCAATATCCATGTTGTTTAGATAGAACCTATTATTTCTTCTATATTTATGAGAAATCCATTCTTGAAGATTCGTTGCGTGATTTCGTTACATTTTGTATATATAAATGTTATTTAATTTTTTTTTTTTTGTAATACTTCATCGTACTCTCTTATATGCTTCTTGTTCAGTAAGAGGCAATTTTTTATCTTCTAACATCAACTTCATCAATTTCTTTGCGAGTGGATCTCTCGAATTCTACAAATAAATATTTTTCTTCATCTGTATTCCACTTAATATATTTATTGTTTTATATATACACATCTATACTCACATGAAAAAACATAGATTACAAATATGCATGCAGCGTCACGTACATATTATACTCACTGCAAACTTATCATAATAAGCCGAACCACGAACGACGGCAAGTTGATAAGTACCATCTTCAACGAAGCTCTCTAATGAATGAAAAGGTAAAATGTGGGTAGTGGACGTTAAGAAACTTATCAAAGCTGCTGAATAAGCGGCCGATAAGACGGTAACCAAAAGAAATAAAGAGAAGTATGCTATTCTTAGCGAAGATCTAACAGGAAAATCTATATTAAAGAAATATTTTGTATAAATATAACTATTAAAAAAATGAAATTAAATGAAAATCAAGAAATATTGAATCAAACCTGCTAGTCCCTGTTGGCACAATATGCCACAAATCTCCAGAAAATTATCGATGAATAAACATCCTATTTTACGATCAATACCATTATGTATTTTGAGAAAAATAAATACGATTGATGAAGCTATTAATATTCCAAGAATAGCAATCCAAACAGAATTAGTGAACGTCTATAAAATAACAATTTCATAATTCATGAAATCTAACGCATGAAAAAGTGAATAATAACAAATATGATTGTAAATAATCGTACTAAAAAGTGAGATGACCATTTAATTCCGAATTTTTCTGGTTCTTGAATAACAAGAAGGTTTTTGGTGTATGTAATAGGAAGAGTGAAGTCAACAACATTTAATCTGGCACTGGTAATAGAAAAGCCTGAAAGAGAAATATCGGCACGTCCAGAATATAATTCTGCAATTGCTCCAGACCAAGTCTTTTTATTTGGATTCCATCTTCCGAACTCTTCTACTTCCGAGACAATGTCGAAACTAACGTTGAGAGTAATACAAATTTGATTTAATAACTCACTGAAAATACCACCTAATTTGCCATTCTTTTTTACGTTAATGAAAGATGAACCCTATAAAAGAAAAAAGAATAGACATAAAGTAAATGAAAAATAATTTTTTTAAGTAGAAAATAGAAAACGTATTTAGAAATAAATATTTTACCTTAACTATAACAGCTTTCATGATCAAACCCTGTAAATTATATCTTCTGTCGTAAAGAGAATTTGTAACCATTTTAGTGATTCCTTTCTCTAAGTTCCATATAGCTACGTCATTGATCTCGATTAAATTCGTATCGACCGAATACCATTCCCATAAAATATTTTCCGTACCACAGCGGACTAACATTTCTGAGTCGAATTTTAGATGAAATATATTACCTGGTGGATTGTGACAATAATCGAAATCATGTTCCTTGTAAATGAATATTACTAGCCACATAGCTGAAGACATGTCAAAGGTAGTTGTTGCTAAAGAGAACGCATTAATCGCGTTGTTATTAAAGATCACTGCTATGTAATACGGTCGTACGATTTGTTTTACGTAGTACGATGATTTGTGCAATTGTGAAAAATGCAAATTCGTGCTCGCAATCCCTTCACGAGAAAGTGCACGTCTCCATTTGAAAATTATCGTTGTCATTTCCATTTCTAAGAAAGAAGAATATTAATATCATAGAAATGAAGAGAAGGAAATGAGAAATATCTTTACCTTTTGTAGATTTATGGTGTAAGAAAATTACAGATTTCGATGCGGATAATTTGCAAATATCTAAAATGAAAGGTGTTTGTTTGTCGGCGTTGAAAAGATCTTGCGATTTTGCATTTTTTTGAAGAAAAAGAAGAACGAGTATGTTTAATCGAATAACGAACATTATTTCTTTGTCGATAGGATTATTTCTCAAGTTAGACGGATCGACGGTCTATAAAAATTCATAAGAAAATATTTACACATCACAAAATGTACAGTGCACATAAAGTATAAAGCGCCAGATTTTCTAAACTATTGAAAAAATTATCATCGGTTATTCGATTATTCGTTTACTCCGAGAATCGTACAGATCGAAGTGCTCGCGACGTATATTTGTACTGTGCATATTCGCGATAATTCTATCTTTGCTAGCATATTATCGATTAAAAACGTTCATTTTCCTCTTTTATTACTTTTTTTCTTTGGTGTGTGAATATACAGGGTGTCCGTCCATAAATGATCGGACAAATATTTCGTGACTGGTTTCAGTTACAAGAAATTTAATAATAGAAATTTGCAGGTTTCTGGATCATCAAAGAGTATCTAAATATTTTATTTTACCCATGACCATTTTGAGTTATTAAGGTCAATATAATTTTTATTTGTAGATGTCTACAATTTTTTTGTACAATTATATAATAGCTAATTTTGTAATTCATTAGCAATTGAAATTATGTGTAACATTTGCAGCTATGCATCGTTTATAATATAATCGGCATCTTATCGAACTATACTGTAATATAATTCATTTTTCATGATATACAAATATATTATTTAGAAATCAAGCAGCTATCTACTTTGATATGTTAAAGATCAGTACTTGTAAACGATTTCTAAATATTACTTAGTCAGTCGACTATTTTTCAAATTGCAGTAGGAGAAGCAACTACTTTAATATATAAGATGCGAAATATTTCGTAAACTATACGTAGTGGTAATTTTTTACATGATATGATTTTGATTGCAAAGGACCACACACTATATAAATATGTATAAGATATTTTGGAAAAAACTATGTTGATCTTCATAAATTGAGTAGGTTACAAATAAAAAAAGATCTTTATATGCATTTTGTAGCTAACTCAGTCATGTAACTTTCTTTTATTAAATTTTTTTGTAAGTCACAAGATATTTGTTCAGACATTCGTGAAAGAACACCTTATATATCGTCCATATTTGTGAATCTCTCTACATAGACACGTTTCAAGTTTGTATTATTATAAATATGATTGTAAAATATTTATAAAAATTAATAAAATTAAAACTTCCATTAAAATAATTTAATAGATGTTCTAAACGACATAAATGTGTAAGGACTTGATTGATTGATATAGTGTGACCATTAGATATAAAGCCTTAATTGAACAAATATATTACTTATGAGAATTTCACTTCCTTTGAAATAATTTAATGGACTTTCCAATCAATATAGACGAGTAAAAACTTGATAAAATATGGTGCGACCAAAACATGAAAATACTTATTTCAACAAATATATACGGTAATCATCTAGAAAGTAATAAAGTTGCACACACATTCTTCATATATCAGTAAGATTTTAATTAAACGCGTTGTTCGATTTGGCCGTCAAAATAATAGGTCTAGCAATAACAGTAGCGTTTAAAAAATACACATATCGAAATTCTACTATTATGCTTCTTATGGACGGTAAGTCGGATTACGAGGTTATATGAGGTCATAGTATAGATAAAATGGAATCATATATCAAACTGATTAAATCACTCAAATTATTTAGGTAAATATCGAAGTGAAATTTTGTATTATGAAAAAAATCGTAAATTGTATTGTATATACGAAAAAATATATTATACATTCATAATTTATATGGATGCATAAATTTGTACTGATTCAAAGGTAACATAACGAAAATGTATTGCACAGCAACTGATAAATTTACTTTTAAAATTCATAAAACGTTTCTCATATATTTCAGATAAACTTACTTCTATAGGCTATATCTATGAGCAAATAAAGTCATATCAGTTGTGGTGATATTACCATAATAAAATTACATTACAACACATTGCAGGATCCTACGTTACGGTTATTATTACAGTTACTATTAAAGCTACGAAAAATGTAAATGACCAAAATGTATGTAACTATTTACGAATATAGATATACAAAAATTTTATATTTTTCGGTAAGAAATAAGATAAAAAAGAATTTTCATGTAATTTATTTTTCACCGGTTTACATTTTCCCATTGGGTTCATTGAATTTATCTCTGCTAAACTTGGTTTATACAAAAAAAAAAATACAAAATAGTTAATTGTAATGCTTCAATTCTTTTGGTAACTTGCTCCATCTCAACGTCTCTACAATTTTTATATTTTCTTTAGCAATCTAGTAGAAAATAATCATGTAAATTGAATAATTTAAATTCTAAAGAATAAAGAATCCAATCATTTTTCATTATGTTTCTTAAAAATATTACCTAAAAGGAATTATGAATTGTTATCACGAAATATTCTTACCTACTGTGTTAATCAAGACAACTTTATCTAAACAAAAAGTTATTGTTCGTCTATAGTCCTTATATTCCCAGTTAGAAAACAATACTGTATTGCTATAATGAAAGATTAACTGGAATTGCATAGTATTTTATTATATTTGTATTATATTTTTTATAATGAAATTAAATAACAAATCAAATTTTAATTTAAAATATCACTATTCCTGATTATAACTCGCGGAGTATACGCGAACCTCAATTAGAAAATCTAGATTATAAATCATATTAAATTTTGCGTTTAAGTAACTTATTAAATATTATTGTAAGATATTATTGTTAGCTCATACGCTTGAAATATCGGTGAGAATTGAAAATATCGCCGATGAGATCTAACCTTCGCTTTTCAAATGATGAAAACTGTCTTTGAAAGAAAATTCACCATCAAATTACAACTGTGTAAAAGAGATGCATAAAACCATAACTGAAACATCCTACTATCTGATGTTTCTCCACGGTAATGCTTGTCCTCATGTGGCTCTGAATATTAAAGAAGCTTATGAAACTTTAAATGTTTGGTGATGTATTGGTGAATCCTGCAGTCCAGACAAATCTCCAACTAATTACAATTTTTTTGCAAAATTGACAGACTTCTTGAAAAGACAATCGTTCAGGAAACGATAATTTAAAATACAACATGGAACGACGTTTATAGGATTACATACACCTAAAAAGTTATAAAAAATCGGTTGTATAAAAGTATTTTTATTTGACACTATGATTATTTATGTATATTTCCATAAATAGACAAAGTTAGAGTTGTTTGAAATCGATCTTGTTGAATTTCGTTGAGGGAATTTCTAACTCACCAAAAATCTTTGAAACATGGAGTTGCATTAGCATCAATGCTACCAGTTGCACAATCGTCAATTGTAAATAATGTTGACTATGCAGTCAAGATATCTTCAAGTAACGATAAGTCCATTAGTACTTTATTAAGCTCAATTGAACCACGAATAGCTTGTACAAATTTCAATGCCAATAGCAGCACTTATCTAGAATTTCAGAAGAAATTTTCAGATGATCCAATCGGCTTTTCATGAGAAATTTGTAATCGATTGTGCTTTAAAAATAAGCTCAAGAAAATTATTGATTAATATCGTATAACGTCCTCATTTTTTCAATATCCAATGACTTTTTGTACTCACAAAAACCGACTCATTTTCCTGAACAAGATTTAATATCATTGCGCCATACATACAAATTCGACAGGTCATGTTCATAGGCAATATGAGATTTTCGAACAAATTGTAAAAATTTCTGTCTCAATAAATAATACTGAACATCAATTACTAAGAAACATTGATGATGATCACTACATCAAAGTTCATATCAAAAGAAAAAGAAATCATTAATCAAGGTACTTAATGAATTCGTAATTATTTAACAAGCGTAATATTAAGATATGGTTACAATAACGATAATTTTTTTTTATCGTCTTTACGACATTACAATTGATTAATCTTTCTTTGTTAATACGAACGAAAAAGAAGTACGAAAATATGAAGTAAGTAAAGGATACAGTCACCTGTAGCGAAATATTTTAACAGTACTAGTAGCTTTGCTGCAATTGAAAGTCAATCCACACGTATTGAATAGCAGACGATAATCCTCATGTATACGTTTTTCTGTGGTTTGCACAATAGGAGCTACAAATAGGTTTATCGGTATTTATTTAATTTCTATTTACTACGTAATATTCCTTTATGTTATATATATCCCTTTATATTACTATAATATCCCTTTATGTTACTATATTAAATGTATATTAAATATAGTAATCCATATTAAAAATGGTAATAATTAAATAATATATTAAAAATAGATCTGACAGGCAATGTGTTAAATGGCACTTGTAGTGCTAATGTTATTATTTATTTACTTTTAAACACAAAACATATTGCAATTTACACAAAGTGACAATGTAATAAATTATGAGAATATCCTTGTAGCTAATAATGATAAGATTGTATTTTTTTAAAATAACTACATTTGTTAAAAGCAATGAGAAACAATGTAGTAATTAAAAAAGTCTAACATTTTATATTAATAGTAATAGATTTTTCGCAAATGGACTGCATTATAATATAGCAAACATGAGTAATGAATTAATACACATTTACTTGGATAGCTGCTGATTTAGGTTTTGAGATAAGTTAATGGAAGAGTTATCAAAAATAAAATAAAAAACAAATTATTGATATGTACACAAGTATTCACCCATAATATTGTACCTATGTTGTGTGTTGAGAAAACAAGAATATAGCAATATTTAACTATAGCAAAATGCCGCAGAACCTGATAAAACCAGCGAATTATTAGTTTTTTGATAATGTAACTTCGAGAATTATTCAAATTAATCATATAAATAAATAATAATTTTCTTTCCCATGGAATTAAGTCATTTATGTATTTTTATTATATAATTTAATATATTCATAAATATTATTTATTTAAATATTTATATATTTATAAATTATTTTAATTATATAATGTTGATCTACTCAAGTCCGCTCTGAATGTTTTCTTTTGCTCTCTCTCTTAAAGTAAATTTTTTCTTTTTTCCATAAACAAACACTCTTCGTGAAAGACAAATCACGCTATCCTTTACTAGTATCGACTTACCTCACATATGTACACACATACACAAGACTAATTAGGTCTAGAACTTTCCATCCCTTTCATTCCTTCCATCCCAATTATCGATCGACATATCTCTCTTTCTTCCACATACATGATTAACTAATCTTCCATGGAAGCTTCCATCCTACATAAATATA